AGTTGTCAATCGGTGTGCGTGTGTGTCTGCTGCTCTACGCCCTCTGCTTCCGATGAAGAGACGAGATGCTGGCCGCTTTTTCATTGAGGGCATTTTGTTGCCTTTTTTCCCCTTTCACTCTGCGGTCGATGACGGACCCAATGGGATATATATATATACATTTATATATATATATATTCTGTGCGTTGTTGCTCGCGTTTTTCTTTTCTTCGTTTCTTTTCGCTACCAATCTCTTAATTGCGGCCCGAGCTTTCTTGTATAAGCGGGGTGGTGCAAGTGAAGAGAGGCTCCTCAGGCCGCAGGCCCAGCTAATAGAGAGAAGATACAGGCACGTGACACGGGGCGTCCACAAAGAAGTGAAGGGGAAGAGGAAGAAGACAGGCCTCAACAACAACAGCAACAGCAGGAACTATGCTTATTAAGGTGAAGACGGTAAGCAACAAGGTGATTGAGATTGCCTCCCTCAATGAGGAGAACACCATCGCAGAGCTCAAGGAGAGGTTGGAGGAGTCAGAGGGCATCCCAGGAAGGATGATAAGGCTCGTACACCAGGGGAAACAGTTGGAGGACGAAAAGAGCATCAAAGACTACCCTATCGCGGCAGGCGCAACGCTCCACATGGTAGTGGCACTACGTGCTGGCATGTGAGGTGGGCCGGGTTCCAAATTGCCGTCTGGAAGAAACGATCGAGAAGGCGAGGCGAAACTCACGGAATGGAATGCGGGGTCAGAAAGGAGGAAAATACGAAAGAGAAACACATTGGAGGGGTTAACGCCTCAATGTCGTACTTTACTTAGGGCTACACAGTGGGGTTGGTGTGCTGTTTGTGTCTTGACCACACCCACACCTGTCCCTCTGTTTGTCTTGTTGTTGCTGTTGTTTTTCTGGCCGTTCCTTCTTCCTATTCACACTGTGTCGTAATTGACAGCTTCTTCTTTGGTTCCTCTGCATCCATTCTCGCTTGCCGCGTCAATGAATGCATGTGCGTGGTTGCCCGGATGACCAATTGATTAGTTACATGATTCAAAGGGTTCCTCTCTGACAAGTCATTTAGTTATTTTTTCCCGTCGGTGTTTTTTTTACTCCCCCCCCCCTTTTTTTTTTTTTGCCTCTTGAAGGATTATTCTTATTCTGTCTCTCCACTTTGCTATTGTGCACAACGCCAAAGGCCACATCCATCTTCCTGGGAGAGGGGAGGCGACCCACTAGGAAAGAACAAAGGACTGGTGTGTCTCTCAGCAGGTGCGGTTTTCTGAAGAAGTGGGCCTGAGCCGACTGCCGAAAAGTGGAGGCGGGTTCCGGGCTCCTTTGAGGGGAGGTATCGTTCGACGTCGCTTGGGGAGCAGTTAGCAGCAGCCGTTGTCACTTTTTTGGAGGCATCTGAAGTGTATTAATTCATTTTTTATTGTCGTTGTTACTGGGGCGGATGTCACTGTGGCCGTTCCGTACAGGCAATGACGATCGCTTTCAGGTGACCAGCACGGAGGAGACTATCTACGACGCCATCAAGGGCGAGCTTCCTCCACACCGGTACGAAACTGAAGTAAGTCGCTACTTGGAGTGGCGCTGGCGTAGGGGTTTAATTCAAAGTGTCTTTCCAGTGACATGTTATAGTGCGGTGTTAGGCGCCACCTTTGGGTTTCGTCAAGCGCGCTCAGAGGGACGTTACATTGGTAGGTATAAAGTGCTATGGCGATACAGTTCCACCTTTGCTGCTGTGGGTCTCTTGACCACGGCGTTTCATCACATGCTTGTGGTGCGTAACAATTACCATGATCGGTTGTTTTACCCAATGGTAGCGGGTGCGTCGGGGGCCGTTGCGTTGACGCTGGCATCCCAGATGGGAAGCATTACTCAAGGCATGTTTGCAGGCTCCTTTATCGGGATTCTATACACCGCTGGCTGTTATGCTATGACGTACTACCACAAGCATCGTTTGAAAATTTTCTTGTCGCAGCAGCAGCTGCAACAAGTGCCTGTCCACAAGGTGTCGCCGGAGCTGCAGCCCATGTATAGGGCTTACCTTTATGATAACAGGCCACTAGAAGAGAAGGACTTCCTGAAACGACAGGCTGTTGTCTTGTCTTTGGGCGAAGAAGATATGGGACTGGACGCCAAACGAGTGATTCACAACATGGTTCCTGAGGTTGTGGATTGGGTGAACTTCCCCGACTGGTGGCCGCTGAAGTTTCCTACCCAGACGGAAGAGGAACGGATGATTTTTGAGCGGAAGCGCAACGAAGAGGTGGAGCGGCGGAAACACCTCATTTTGGAGTCAGAGGAAGGTGCCTTGCTGAAGCGTGTCAACCGAGCCAAACAGTACCGCGATGCATAGCGGTGTTCCCGCGTGTTTTTGTATGGCGAGAAAAATATCAGCCCCAGCAAGAAGGGAGGGGGG